ATGTAGTTCATATTGTGTAATTTAGATTGTGTAATTAATTTGTTCATATTATGTTAGATTTTTTTCTGTTAATAGAATTTTTTTGGTGATATTATTGTTGAATATGCATGTTTGGTGATATTATTGTTAATAGATATTTTTGTTAGATTAGATGTGTAGTAATTTAGATATGTAGTTCATATTGTGTAATTTAGATTGTGTAATTAATTTGTTCATATTATGTTAGATTTTTTTCTGTTAATAGATTTTTTTGGTGATATTATTGTTGAATATGCATGTTTGGTGATATTATTGTTAATAGATTTTTTTGGTGATATTTAGATTGTGTAATTAATTTTGTTCATAGAATTAGTTAGAAAAATACTAGTTTATTTTTAGTAAGTACTATTTTATTTTATTTATAGTAAGTGCTTCATATATAGTTGAACTAGCTAGTTGATTTAATAAACTAATTTATTTCAGTATATATAGAAGTAGTTTGTTTTTAGTAAGTACTACTTTATTTATTTATAGTAAGTGCTTAGTAGTTGAACTAGATAGTTGATTTAATTAATAAAACTACTTTATTTAACTATATATAGAAGTAGTTCCCGCATCGACGTCGGCGATGCCTATCCTGCATCCTCGTCGTCGTCGACTCGGTGGTGGAGGCCTGCTTGATCAGGGCCATGTTTGGGACTGGGCTCCGCCGGGCTGGTATTGGGAGGTGCTACCTTCCGGGGACGTAGGTTGGTGAGGAGGCAGCCCATTGTTGACCCGATCCTTGTTTGGTGGCGGTCGCGTGGGCCAGTGATGGTACTGAGGCTTCCGGACACCGCGGAGGTGGTACTTCACCGTGTCAGTGAGGAGGACGAGCACATCCGTCGCTACATGGTTGCATTGGAGGGCAGGTTCGACAATACCTGGCAGGTTCTTCAGGGATCTCACTGGAGCTATGATCCTGTGATGGTTCCTTATCTTTGGGTGTCCACCGCCCGCGACGATACCCGTCGGGCGCTACGGTTCAAGTTGTATTAGTGATGCTATATTAGTGATAATATTCGACGATGTACGGACACCAAAAGATGATGTACTTTTGCTTATAATTATTGAATGCATGCTAATTTGAATACTACTTTATTTTATGATTTGGTTTTGCTTATTTTATGATTTGGTTTTGCTTATTGAATGCTCATATTGGATAAGTTCTCTTTCATTCCTGTGTGCTAGACAATTTGGTGTAATAATGCACTCGGGAATGAAAGGAGGAGCTACGTACATCACCGATAGTCAACCCGTGATTAATAATCTAGTTTAATACTTGAATTATGAACATAGGCCGGAAATGTCGTACTCGGACGACGAAAACCGCCCGGGGGAGCGCGACTGGTGCCACGACGACCGAGGTATGTGCGACAGGTTCATTGAGCTGGACGAAGATCGGCGCTTCAGCATTAAGCTCGAGGAGACCTTCGATGTTCATACGATACGCAACGACGACAATAGTTTTTTTTTCCGTAATTAAGCATGACTTCAACTATTTTAACGTGTGTTTTTCATTTTTTTCAATTCGACTAGCTTATCTCATGCTTTGCAAGACGCTATGTCTTGGAGAGGATGGGTTTTGAAGACCATGAAAGTATGGAAACCAAAAAAATTATCCTAAGTACCCATCATGGTGTGGATTTTCAAGTAAAGTTGTACAATGCTCAGAGTGTAACCCATTTTGGTTGCAAAAATTAGGAAGCACTTTGCAAGATGTATGGTCTTGATGAGGGTATGCTTGTCACCATGGATCTTGGTGATCCTACAATCGAGCAAGAGAGACCTTCGATTTGGGTCCTTGTGGATACACCTCCAATTCTTTCCCCATGTGAGCTTAACATAGCTATTAAGTAATTTATATTGTTTATTTCAAAATAGTTGACAACTTATTTCCATTGACAGCTTATTCTCATTCTTTAAAGAATGTGCGGAAGATGGTAGACAGAACCTACTACACCGAAGGCTCCGAATTAACTTATCAGGAGAAAAATCATCTGGTCGCATTTTGTACTGATCTTGAGAATTACAATATCTACAACCAAACTCCTCAACATTATGGTCAATACGTGCCACTAGTGCACGTGTTGAACTACGGTAACTACCATGGAGATACCCTGCTAAGATTTTTTACTATTACGACATCCGTGCATCTTTTTGCACACTTCTAAAACTAGTACATCATTGCTAACTATGAAGTTATTACTATGTTTTTCAACAGATAATCCCGAATGATTGTGTGCCTCATCTGATGTATACGCACAGTACCCTTCATGTTTTGAACATACAATCAGGTCTTCCTACGAATCTCAACTGTCCATACCAGGTTTCTAAAAGAAGTGGAGACATGACAATCAAAGAATGGAAAAAATGTATGGACAGCCGTAAGGAGCTTCTTGGAAGCAAAAGGCAGCGAAGGGCAAGAATTGGAGACAGGATGATCGCCATTCTTCATAATGGAGAGTCAAGGTCTATATTGTTTTATGCTATTTTACCTTAACGGTGTTTAGGTCCTACCTGATACTGATGATCATGTGCTAAGAACAATTATGTAGGGTTGGGTTCGATGACTATGAGGATGATGATCGTATGACTTATTATTAATAACGAGTAGAAGTTGTATGATGATGCATGATTAGTAGGACTTGTTATTATATATGATGATGTATGATGCGAGCATGCATGAGTTGTTATATCAGCGGGTGAAATGAACATAGCTGTAGCATTGATAAACCAAGGACGAAGATATAAGAGAGGACACTTCTCTCTATTAGCTAGCTAATAACAACCTAATAACCCCCAAAACCCCTAAAGCAGCCACTTTTGTAAAAAAACACATGGACTTTTGGTCCCGGTTGGTGCCACCAACCGGGACCAAAGGCCCCCCTAACTGGGCTCGGCGGACCGGCCACGTGGAGGCACATCTGTCCCAGTTCGTGTTTGAACCGGAACTAATGGGTGGAGATATTAGTAACGACCCATTAGTCCCGGTTCATGAACCAGGACTAAAGGCCCTTACGAACCAGGACTAATAAGTGTTTTTCTACTAGTGTGAGCCGGCCGCTGTGCTGACCAGCTGTAGCTCATAACCATTAGGCTGGGATAATATAGTTGTCTCCAACTAGGAACTAGTACTATTTGACCTTTCCTTCAGTTAACACATATTATATATACCCAGCACAAATTATTTTGAAAAGAAAGTACAAATTGAAAAACAATTCTAAAAAATATTGAAAACAGCCACGAATTTGGGAAAACAGGTTCAGAATTACTGTCTAAAAGTTCGTGAATTCAAAAATGTGCATGAAGTTTTTAAAAAAGTTCACAAAATTTGAAAAAAAGTTCAACAGATTTTAAAAAAGTGCATCAAATTTGGAAAAAGTTCATCGAATTTGAAAAAGGTTCATCAGATTTGAAATCGTTCATCGGACTTGGAAAATGTTCGCTGGATTTGCAAAAGTCGAATTTGAAAAAAGATCATCGGATTTGAAAAAGGTGCATCGGATTTGGAAAATGTTAACCGGATTTGAAAAAAGTTCATCGGATTTAAAAACAGTTCATCGGATTTGAAAAGCATTCATCATATTTGGAAAAAGTTCTTTGAATTTGAAAAAAAATCATCAATTTTGGAAAAAAGTTCTTCGGATTTGAACAAAGTTACTCGTATTTGGAAAAAGTTCATCAATTTTGAAAAAAGATTCATCGAATTTGGACAAAAGTTCGTCGGTTTTGTAAAATACGTGAAGGAGAAAAAATGATTGATTTTGAAAAAGAGCATGATTTTTTTTAAAAGACGCATTTAAGAAATAAAAGGAAAAGAATAGAAGAAAACCGAGTAAAATCGCACCTGAAATTGACCAACGAACCAAAAAACAGTTTAGGGAAGGTTCTGGAAGCTTCCCAAACCGGAGGAGTTCCCGTGATATTTTGTGGCCTGCTTGGTGCGGTGCTGATTTACTAGAGTAGATCTTGAGTTCGATTTCGTGCGGACGCACATTTTTTGAACGTTTAGAAAAAATATAAAAGCAGATACATGGTCCGGCCCAGTCGCATCAGAGGGATGTGGGCTGCAGGCGCCGGTTTGCACAAAACAGTTATAACCGGCGCCTGCAGCTCCAGATAGGGATTGCCACGAAATAGATCTGATATATAGGATTTTTTTTTGAGGGGAATGTTTTCCTTTTTCTCATCGTCAAGAGAGACGTGCAACGTTCGTGACTTTTTTTTGACTTTGTTCCGCAACGTTTGTTTGTTTGTTTTCCTTATTATTACATGTGTGTTGATTTATTCTTAAATCTCGGCCGTCAATTTTTATGGTTTTTTCTGAACATCAGTACAGACGCAACCGCTCATACATACACGCATACACTCATCCCTATGAATGCACACACGCACACCCTACCCCTATGAGCACCTCCGAGAGACTGAGCCGGCATGTCATCTTGAAATTTACGAAGTCACCGTAGGCGCCTCGTCGTTGACGGGAACGTCTACTCTCACTAAAAGCCTCCGTTCTTTATTATTAAATTAGGTAAAGATAAGGATTGACACGTAGATGGTAGTGGCCTGTTGGCTAAACGGGTGATTGCAATTGTTTGTGCTGTTACATTGACCTCGGCTCTTCATACTTTAAAATACTCACGCATAGAGATAACTCGGGAGATAAATAATTTTAACTCATCAGAATAACATACTGACAATGAGATTATTTAAAAAGTACTGACAATGGGATTTCAAGAGCCAATTTAAAAGAGAGATTCCACAACGAGTGATAGATGGCATTATTCTAAGACTTTGGAGAAAGAAAGACCAGTGGGCCCCAAAAAATCTAGAATTATCATAGAAAAATGAAAAATTTGTGGAAAACCATGCATATTGATGCCACAACACATTTATTATTATATTTATTGTAATAACTATTAATAGTACAATTTATTTCTCATCGACATATTTTTTCCCATATAAACACAAACATCCTATTACTCGGGAAACATACGGGCCGCTACCAAGGCGGCGTTTAGTTTAACCAGCATGCCCAATTCATTGTTTTCATTGACAAGACCCCCCACCGCAGGCATGTCAACAAGCTCGGAGATGCACTCGTTGACATGATCACGTGCCATATCCATCCAAAGGAGTAGCTCTTTGGACCATTGCCTGCCCTCGTCACGTTGGTAATCCCTGATAATGGCATCACACATGTTGATGACGCTCACCATGGTGTCATAATCCACCTCACACAAACTGAGGACGCGCATTGGCACCGTGCCCTTCTTGGTGTTTTCCAACATTTTCTTGACCTTCCTGCTGGTAGTAGTGACTCAGACCCCTAAGGATGTCGACGGTGACTTGCAGCAAGTCACGGAGGTCCTTAGCCTTAGCGCTTCGATTGTCTGACTGGAGGGTCGTCAAACAGAATTCCTCTTTGACAGGATCCGCATATGCGTTGTTTAATGTGGCGTTCTTGCACACTTCTATCATGAGGTCAGTCGCCTTGGGCTTGGCGCCACCAGATCCACTGACTTGAGCCGTCGTGGTCACGAAAAGCAAGATGAAGACAATGGCGGAAAAGATGACGGTGTCCATCGGTGTTCGTGCCATATATTGTTGCAAGGCTTGTTAGAAGCGTTGAATTGTACTACGACCTAGAGAGGTGGGGATAAATGGATATAGATGGATTTTTAGGGGAGAAATGGTTGGATATGATGTACGAGAGGCTGAGATTTATTTATAATGTGTATAGTGGGGTTCATAAATGCAGTATGCAGCTTGGTCATGGATATGCCTATTATTATTGTCTAATCTGTGCACAAAGATTTTAGTGCTCAGTTTTGATCTCCTTTATTAATGATATCTAATATGTGCATGAATATTTGCGTGGGGGGTGGGGAGTTGGATGGATATGATGTATGGGAGGTTGATGTTTATTTATAATGCGTATAGTTGGGTTTCATAAATGAATTTTGCAAGTTGTGTCATGGATATGCATATGATTAGTGTCAAATCTATGTACAAATATGTATATACTCAATTTGGATATCCGTTACTAATGATGTTGATACTACACATCTGACTTCCACCATTTCATTTATGCAACACATCTTGATCATGGATATCCAAAAGAATAGTGTCCACTGAATGCAAAAAAGATATGTTGATACTCAGTTTGTATCCCCATGCATTGATATGTCAAATCCAGATTGATGTGTTCTACACATACACTTTGGTATAACCGATTTGCTATTTCTACACGGCTTTCAGGATTGATCAAGTTGCCCCTCATCAAGTCTTTGATTCCGGAACACATTGCTGCAACTTCTGAGTTTCAAAAATGTATGCACAAAACTTTCAAATAGTTTCTCAATTTGAATTTACTCCTGTAACTTTCAAACAAATTATCAATGTGTACTAGGTTAGAAATAATTATTCCTAAATCAACTATTATAAAGAGGATAGACCTTTACAATAATTCTATGCCCCCTTCTAAAAATCAAAGTCAATTTTCAAGCATTAAAAAATGCCTTGATGACAAAGGGCATATACTACACTATTCATCAAATGAACACCGTAAAACATCCATGGACGCATGTCCGAACATTCCCGTGGACAACCAGGCGGGTGCTAGGGCACGGACACGTTCACCACCCCCCCTGTTTTTTTTTTTGCACTCGGTCAATTTTCTTTGATGCTCAACATTCAATAATTAACAATTCAACAATTCATATAATTCTTACAAATAAAAGAAATCAAAGCATCTGCACTGGTTGTTCAACAAGTTTGATAATATGAGCCCTCAAAACAAGCAACCTAACCAAATGAATCATGTAGCATCAAACAAGCAACTACACAGTCATGATGTACTATCTCCAACTTTGCATATTCTGTTAAGCTCTTCTTCAAAGAATTCCACGTTTTTTTTGTCAGACCTATGACCATTAGTGACATGTTAGTCTCCAAGACTTGGGAAATGAAAGTCATCAGTAAGCAAGACAATCGACTGTAGGTTCCACATAATATACCTTCGCACTCAAGATTAGATCGCACTCACAAATCTTATATTTACTAATTGGAGGGCCGTACGAGTAACCACGTTAATCCTTGGAAACTAAGAAAACTGGCCATCCGATATTCAAACTGTGTATTTTCCACCATCAGATGCTATGCCTCAAGGAGTCCTCGAATTCTGTCCCACCTTAAACCATCTACAGCAGAAAAAAAAGAATACATCTCTGGCCCACGTATAGCTAGAAAAAATTAAACCATTTAGAGAAGAAAAAAAAGAATCCATCTCAGGCCCACGTATAGCTATAGCTAGAAAAAAAAGAATCTATCTCTGGTGGTCTCCTTCCTTCGCTGATCCATCCCTTCCCACATACAGCCTAAAGAAACTACCGACACACCAAGCCCTAGGGCTCCTCCTCCTAAGAGCAACTCTAGCAGACCCCGCATCCCGCCTCGGCCCGCAAAATAACCGCCAAATTGTGGGTCGGGGCCAAAAAAGCAGCCCGGTCAGACCCCGCATCCCGCCCTGGCCCGCAATTTTTTTTGCGGGGCGCGACAAATCTTCTCCCCCAACCTCTATCTTCACGGGTTGGGAGGCCGATCCGAGCTGAACCCCTATCCGGCGCGAGATTTGGCGGGAGGGACATTTCCGCGCGCCCTTTCCCGCTACCCGCACCCTCCGCCACCATTGCCCCCCTCCGCAAGCTCCGGTTCCTCCTCCCCGGCCATTCCTCGCCGCCATGGACGCCCCCGTGCTGTCCCCCGTCACCATCGAGGTCGCGCATGCTCCTTCCCCTCTGGCGGATCTCGTCGCCGGCCATGTTGCCCCGCCGCCGTCGCCCAAGCACACGCCGTGCCGGCCGGCAAGCGGCAGGGCAACGTGGTCGTGCAGGGCGGGAATCCGGCTGCCCCCGCCGTGACGGCCCGCGCTCCGGGCGCCAACGCCGCAGTGCGATCCCGGCCGGCGGCGGAGAATGCCGGCAAGACCGCGGGCGTAAAGCGGAGGAAGGTTCCGGCTAAAAGGAAGCCACCTTCTTCAACCTCTCACTCCATCCCCCCGCAAGGAGGTGCTCCGGCGATGCCGTTCAACGGTGCCCCCCCACGAGCGAGGTGTTCGACGAAATGGCTGCAAGGTATGCCTTTTCGGTCTAGCGATTCCCTTTCATTTACGCCATTAGTGTCGATAGTTCATGATTTGTTATCGTTTGGTATAGCGGTGGTTCGAACAATGCAACAACCGAGTTCGTGAACTTGTTGGACACGAACGCGGTTGACATTGATCAAGCCCCTTTCGAACCATTCGACTACAATGAAATGGACGGCGGCGTGGATGATCATGGTTGTGCGGACGAATTGGAGGAGATCGAAGCGGGAACATTTGAGGAATCACAATCAAAGAGTGGGAAGAGACAAAGATCGAAGAACTACACGATCCTGGAAGATCAAGCTTTGATCCAAGCATGGAGTGCACTGTCTCTTGATCCATGCACAGGTGTTTCTCAAACCGCCAAGAGATATTGGCAAAGGATCGAAAATCAATACTTCCGCATTATGAAAAAGTTTCCCAATAGGACTCCACGCACATTTCGGTCGCTTCAAGGGTGTTGGGAGAATATCAAGCCTATGTGCAGCCGTTGGGCAGCTTGCTTGGAGCAAGTACGCAATGCACCTCCAAGTGGCACCATGGAGTCCGATTATGCGAGTATGTTTTTCCTTTGTTCAAGTTGTGCATCATCATAATGTATCATGGGAAATGATTGCATCACTTTGTTCACATTTTGTAGGACAAGATTGCTCAACATAGATACAAGGCCATGGAAGCTTCGGAAGGCAGATTCTTCAAATTAGAGCATTGTTGGGAGTTGCTCCAAAAGTGCGATAAGTGGAAGTTGATCGACAGAGAATGCCCACCAAAGAGAGGCTCACTTGTAAACATGGATGAAGACGAAGATGATGATGGACCAAGAAATTTGCACAAGCCCGATGGCGACAAGAAGACGAGAGAGAAGATCAAGAGAGAGCAAGAAGCATCGAGCTTGCGGGAGAAGATTGATGCCATGGTGCAATCAAACGAGTTGATGTTGTTGAAGTCGTTGGAGATCAAGAAAGAGTTGCCAGAGAAGAAGGCAAAAGAGAAGTAAGAAAAATGGCAAATGCTCAAGGAAGAGGGGCTCCGCAAAGCTGCCATTGAGGAGAGAAAAGCGCGCGCCTCCGAAAACAAATCGATATCATTGTTGCTCGCCAAAGAGAACAAGATCATGTCAATGAACCGCAATGACATGGACGACCTCACCAAAACATGGCATGATATGGCAAGGAGAGAGATCTTGAAAAGAAGAATGGTAGCTTCGGCCGGTCCGTGTTCAAGTTCCGGTGATGTTTTCTCTGCTGCATATGGTGGCAATGTGGATGATTTCGGTGCTGGAGTTGGAACAAGCGAGGGAGGTGGATTCGGTGGCGCCGATGAACTTCAATATGGACTCGATGGCGCGGAGTGAAGATCGACCCCCAAGATGATGTCGGACATGGGCGCAAACCTTTTGCATGCCCTCTTTTGCGTAATGAACTTCGCTTTTATTTGCGCGCAAACTGTTTATGTCATTTGAATTTGAACTTGTTTGCCAAACCTATGTCAAATGCGAGTTTTGCATTTTTTCTGTTTGCGGGTCTTCGCGGTGGTGCCCAAGCAGAACCCGCAGAAGCCGACCCGTAAAAAAGCATATTCCGCGAATATTCTTTTTTACGGATCCGTTTGGGGGGTCTGCATCTGTGCCAGGCTGCGCCGGCCTGCAAAAGTGGTTTTGCGCGAACTGCAAACGAGTTTTGCGGGCCGGCGGGATGCGGGGTCTGCTAGAGTTGCTCTAATACTGTCCTCCTAGCAGTCAACCACACCGATCCAACAAACTATAGCGCTCCTCCTCCTGCCCAATCTGTTGTCTTCCGTTGCAGCCATCTAAAACTGTTCTTCCCCATCCCTTTGCTACATTATCTTTGAATCTCTACAACCCTACCATGGAGCAACACATCTTGGCTAGGGTAAGGTCCTTTTAATCCCCTTAGTTGCCATGCCCCGACCAAACTGCAATGAAGTGGAGAAGGAGGTATTTTTGGATTACTAGATGAGTTAGATTTAGGAGGAGGAGGACCGTACTAAGGACAGTTTGAAGCAGACAACAGACTAAGCCCTTCTAAACAGGCAACTAACGTTGGAAGTTGCGGCGCTGCTGAGGGTGCTTGCTCAGTTTTTTTATTCATGCATAAACGTCATGCAATTGGAGATGGCCTTACA